ATACTTTGCAATTTATTATTTCAGGTAAACAAGGGAATAAAAAGTTAAGATAATTAATTAATTTTTTTTTACTTCTTCAAGGGGAAAAGGAATGAAAGGATCAGAATGTAAACGTATAATTTGTTAACTTCTCTCTTTCTTCAGCTTTGCAGAAGCTTGCAGATAGTTTTGTCTGTGTCTTGCATGGGTTGGGAAACATTCAAAACTGGACACAATATCCTAGATGCACTCCAGTAATGATTAGAGATGTAAAAGTCACAAAGAAAACAGTTCTGCTTTGTTAATTTCCCATAACATGAAGTGTAACATCTAGAAATTAATCTTCAATTTTCCTTTTTTTTTCTTTAACATTGACAGCCCTATCTTAGCCATAGGTGGCTTTCTTACTTATTGATTACTCCATATGCAATTACATGTACATGCTCTCTTACTCTCTTACTGACTATATTTTATTTTATATTTATATTATTTATATTTTATTTTTACTTTAGGCTTAAAATAGAATTTTGCTTTCACCATATGTGACAACAATCACAATGATAAAACCAAGAGACTGGAGGTTGTTCAGATATACTCAGTGCTGCTAACAAATACTGCTCTAGTATATGGAGTTCACTCCCTGGGTGAGAAAGACTGGACTTATGAAATCCATGTGCACAATGACATGAATCCACCAAAAAACCAACCTATCCCAGAATTAATAGCAATAATTAACTTGCAGTGTAGAATAAAAATAGCTTTTTATCTTTTCGTGTCAACAACTTTGTTTCTACTCTTCATGCAGAGGCAAGATAAAAAATCTTGTGGCTAAAAATACTCTGTATGCTTTAAATTGTATATACTGCAAAACCATCACCCAACCCAAGTGGTGCACAGAGTCTTAAGCTGGGCAACCTTGGATAAGGCCAAAGGGAGCTCTGAAGTTCCTTTCCTGTTACCATCATACGGAATCCATAAGCCTGATTAAGAAATCATGGTTAGCAGTGACAAATTTATCTAGACTATTACAGTTTTAATTTGACTTTTTCCATTTCTCAAAAAAAACCCTGTAATTTTTTAGTCAAGTTTGTGGAACACAATTTTCTATGTATTTCTGTGGCAGAGATCTCAAGAGAGATATCCCTCTCTTTTTTTTTGCGTTAGATAAAATACAGAATCTGTGTGTGGTTGAGACAATTTTCTGAAAGAAGGTAGCTAAAATTCCTTCCTGAAAAAAAACTTGGGAAACCATCAACCTTCAAAGAACCACCACAATTCAGGCAAAAATTTGGCAGATCTCATTAAGAGCTCCTGTGAACACTGGTTTGTCTCCTGTACTACCACCAGAAGTAGCTGACAGGACTTCCAGGGATGAAGGCCACTATGTGACTCCTTTCTGCTTGCACCAATTTCCAGTAAGTTAAATCCCCACAGTAATAATCAGTGGTGAGAAAGAATAATGTCAGCTTGACAGGTCTAAGTGGGAGATTCTCGCTGGTATTATTAATAACTACCACATATAGCAACTGTTTGTAATTTTGAAAAGTACTATAGAAATTTTAAAAACCTGTCAGAATTCAATATCCATAGAATTATTTCTCTGGACTACAAAAAATAATAAAGAGATAAATCTTGGTACCTTTTTTTTTTTTTTTTTTAAGTAATTGTCTGTCTTCTGATTTCAATGGGCATGACATAATATGGAAGGGTACAAAATCACCAACTATTAGAGAAAAATTTTAGAGCTTTTAACAGTTTCTGAAAAAAAAAAAAAATACCTTATCTGTGAGCCCCAGAAAAGTTTAAGAAAAAGATAGCAAGCAAAAATAACAAGTTACCTTTTTGGGGTGCACTGGAATAGGGGGTTAGTTATCAAAAATATTGCATTGACCTGAACCTGAAGAGAACTGAGAAGAATGCAGTTTTTGGCACATGGTAGGAACTACAAGATATTAACACCTGGAGCAATGTCCACAGAAAAACAACTGAGAAAAAAAAGCCCTCTGAGCATTTTGCTAACATACAAAATTCCAGGAAAACACAGGGAGCAAGTGAGAAAGTGATCCTCCTGATTGTCCCAAGAAAATTTCCTTCTACAATACAAGCAAGCTCTCTATCCTAGTCAGGTTATATTACAGCCAGCTTTTTCCTGACACATCTTGGTATGCCATCCAAAGTGAGAAACAGGAAGCAGGAAACAGGTTAGGACTGTATGCGTGACACTGCTCCTAAAAGTGCTTTGCTGAGTTATTCTCTCATAGAAGGCACTGAGTAAAAAATTAAGTGGCAGTCCAGCTGATTCTTGAACCCTTGGCCATGCCAAAAGCAAGTATTGATAGCAAAAACAATAAATCTCTACATAAACAGTTCTTTGCCTTTTGCTGATATCTTCAAAGAGGAGACAACATATCTGGGAGATTCATTTAAGAAGTTGAAAATAGAAATGTAAGGTAAATGTTACTTATAGATCCATTACTTATAGATTCCTACAGAGTAGGAATGCCCATCCTTTTTGTAACACATGTTCTGAAGATGAAGGCATATTTCCTCATAACAGTTTTATGTGTAATTTCTAACTGAAAATCCTCTTTTAAATGCTAGGATACAATGTTTGTATGTGACTGCAATCACATTTCCAGGGACAACACAAACTCTGACTGAACACAAGTCTTCTCAGAATTGGCATCCAACATAACAGATGTCAAAGCTCAATGTCACAATAGTGGCACATATTGTCATAACTTATTTTATTATGCCTGTGAATGAACACACAGAGCAGTCCTTGCAAAAAGAAAAAAAAAATCTCTGCAGCTTATTTCAGGTTTTCATAGAGACTTCTCTTTCAAATTATAACCTGTTTCATATGGGTAGAATGCTTAGCACAAAAGAATGCAGCCTAATAGGCTTTTAGGTACAGCTGTAACATTGGAGCCAGTCTTGGCTCGGTGTGTTGCTGAAGCTAGTCAAGGCACTGCAATTATTTTCAGATACACTTGTAATTAACACCTTTCTGTGCCCCCACAACATACAAATCCAGTAAGAGCACCATACAGGTTAATTAATAAGTAACATTAGAACATTAGTAACAAAGAACAGTTAACTCAGATGGAAAACCAGCACTTAAAGTACATAGGCACTGTGTAGAAGACACAAAATGTTTCAGATCCTGCAGTGCTATATAGGAAACCTCCTACAGCATGCCAGTATTCTTTTACTTTCCTGAAGAAAAAAAAAAAATAGCTGCTTTTCCCTGCACAAAACTCCTCCAAAACAATCAAACCATGACTAGGATAACAACATCACCACCTGGTGAGAGACCTTTACAGAAAAAGTAATACTATACCATTAGGTGGACATTATCTGGACTAGAAATACTTTTACCAGTAGCAATGAATGTTTTCCAGTGTTTGTATTTTCATGTCACTTTCAGTCAATACTTAACAGCATTTCAGTAACATTTTCAGTATGTTAAAATAAGATTAGGCTAAGCCAGAATTACTTAGAATTATCAGTTACTTCTGATATATTTTTAGTGTAATTTGCAGGTTCAAAATCAAATGAGCGAAAGTGAAAAATGAAACACTCAAGACTACATTTACCATTGCCATCAAAGCAATGCTGCATGCCCAAATGACAAATTAAATCAAAAATCAGAACGTATCTTAACACTACTCTTGTTTCATTTTACCCTGTATGCAAATTGCTGAATAAAGTGTGGGAGAAAAGAGAAAGCATGGAGGCTGTTTTGGATCTTGGCATTTTTATTTTCACTGAATGTTTTGATTGTAGGGCTTGGAAAAGCTCTCCATTTGAACATCCCTTGCATCACATTTAACAAAACTACTGAGATAAAGGCAATGTATCAGTATCAAATTCATTGCCTATCATGCTTTGGCAAAAACTTTCAATTAAAGCATCAAATATATGACTCAAAACCAGCTACTCTAGAGCAACACGGAATTACGAGATTTCCACAGCACCTTTGTTTCATTAAAATGCTCTACCCTTGGTCTTTCCAGACGTATGTTAGTCTACTTCCCACAGACTCAAAGAATATTCTGAGTTGGAAGGGATCCACTGTTGTCCATAAAAAATTGGACTCGTTACCTGGTGTGCAATAAGCCAATAATGACACTTGAGAGAGACGCTGATCATTTTTTTCAGAGCTGCAGCAGCCTGGGTGCTCAGTGGTATTCCACAAATCAAGCACGCCAACTAGCCAAACTTTTCACTATTTATACATTTTACCAAACAAAGGAATTAGTGTTCATTGGCCACAAGTTACATGGTTCTCTTATTAATTAGTATATCTATCTTCTGTTGGTTAATGAGTCTCCCATGCTAATTAATCCGCATGCTTAGTCCTTCTCTGCTTTGGGGTCGGTGGTCCGTGAGTCGGTGGCCGTGATCCCCACCTGCCGGAATTGCCTTTCATCCACTCAGAGCTGATTCAGCACAGTTGCTGGGTTTGTTAAGTTTCATTCTTATCTTGGGAGTTCTGCCAAATGTCCTTGTGGCCTGTAAATTCTGCGTTCTTTGTGCCCACTATTATTGCTACATCCTTCTTCCCAGGCTCTGCCTAGGTCTGAGATCACTGTAGCATGTCAAGGCCTAAACCTCAACGAGGCACTTCTACCGACAAGTAACTTGTCCTTCTAACACCTGGACATCACACAGAGCTTGCTCGTTAGCTTCTGCTTCACAGATCACATCTTCAAACTCCACATTTCTCAACTCCACGACGATCGTCCCCGGCGCTGCGCAGGACCAAGGATCGCCCGACGCGCCTTGAGCGCCGTCCAAAGGCTCCTGGCACGGGAGGCTCGACGCTGCGGGTCTTCCCGGGAGCGAACGCCGCGCCGGGAGCGCCGGCAGCCCCGGCTGCTGGGGACGCACAGGCAGCGCCGGCGGCCCGGGAAGCGCAGGAAGCGCCGCCCCCGCCGGGCGCTCACGTGGCCGCCGCGCCTCCTGCCCGGCCGAGCCACGTCCGCGGGGGCGGAGCGGGGCGGGCTCGGCCCCGGATGGAGCAGCGGGGGGAGGCGGCTCCAGCTGCCGCTCCAGCGCCCGCCGCCATTTAGACATCCCGCCGCAGCAGCCAGAGCCGGGACAGGCTGTACGGGAGGGGTCGGGTCGTCACGGCCGCCGCCGTCACCGTCGCCATGAGCCGCCTGCCGCAGCTGCTGCTGCTCGCCCTGCTCGTCTTCCCCGCCACGCTGCTGCTCGGGGGCGCCCGCGGCGGCCCAGGTGAGGGCGGGCGAGCGGCCGGCACTGCCGGGCGCGGGGAGCGGGGCTGGTGGGCGTGTGTATTTATGTACGTGTGTGTGTGTGAGTGGGTGGGTGCGTGTGGGATCTCCGTGGCGGAGCGGGGCGGGGGAGCCGCTCCCGCCGGGCCTGCGGAAGCTCTGCCGAGAGGCGGCGGCGGTGCCGCCGCTCATTCATCGGCCCGGCCGGCCGCGCACGTGGCCGCCGCCGGGGCTCCGGTGCCAGCGGGACCCCGGCCCCGCCCGAGAGCGCCCGGCGGGTGCAGGGCCGCGCTCCGGCCCCTCCGGGCGCAGCGAGCCGCGGCGTCGGGCAGGGCCCTGCGGGCACCGGCCTCGGGCCCGGCCGTGACAGCGGCCCGGGAGAGCCGGAGAGCCCCGGCTGAGGTGGTGGCAGCGGGTTTGCCCTTGTCCCCGCTCTCCCGCGGTGCTCGTTCCCAGATTCCCTAACAGAGGCGCTGGCTGCCGCCCTGCCTTCCCACCTCGTCTGCCACCACCCCCCGAGTGTCCTTGGCGACACCGGGAAGCGCTAATCTCTGTTTACGCCGTGGCGTTATCTGATTCACGATCTGGAAATTGCCTCCCTACTACTAAGTTTGGGAAGGCAGGAGAGGTGGGGAAGGCTTCTCGCCCGGCTCCTGCAGTGGGCTGCAGCAGGCGCCGTGTGCGAGTCGCTTCCCAGAGCTCTCCGTTCCCGCTATTGCCACATCATCAGCCCCTCTGACATCCAGGGAAAAGACCGTAAGGGGTCTGAGGGTGTGCTGGGCAGCAGATGGTAAAGGGTGCCTTACAGCCTATCTGTACGGTGTTCGTTTGTAATTTAAAACCTCCACACACGCCCCCCTTTATTTGTAAGAATTTCTGTGGAAGTTACATTTTTTATGCACTTACCAGTTTAAAACGTCAAATAAAATCACGCTAGTTAAGGCTTAGGCTAAGTATTGCACATTGTCGAGCAAAAGTCTTTGAGTGTGCCTTCTAAAGATACGTGAGAGGAGAGATTGTGTTTGCTCTTTCTAGCACTGTGACAGTTCTTAAGTCCTCGGGTACACTCGTCCTGCTCAAGGATTCCTGTTTCCCATGAAAATTTTTAAATATTTCTTATAAATTTTGTATTTATAGCAGCTAGGTCTCTTTTCAGACGTATGTAAATCAGTCATCCATTCATTTCTACGCTTTCATATTCAGAAAATGTTACGTTTACTAAAAAAACCCAAACCTGTAGTTCTGTGCACATGTTTTAGATCTCAGCCTTGCTTGCACGTGCTCTGAACTGCAAACAGACAGAACTTTGTCCCGTGGCCAGTATTTTTATTAATCATATTTGCCCAGTCTTTGAATGTATGAGGCTTGGCTCCACGAAAGCAAAGAGGCAGTGGACTATCAGATTGCACTTGTCTTGGAGCCTTGGTCACGTTTCTTTTCTGACTGGTGTTGTGGTTCTGTTGGATATATGGCTGTATATGATATTGAGGAGATCAAAGCAAAAAAAGACATTATTTATGTTTCGAAACTTGAGTGAAAATAGGTACCAAGGGAAAAAAAGTAACTTTTTGGGTGCTTTTCAAAGTGTTCTGTTATCAGTGTGCTGATAGCTTGTTAGACTTGCTAGTCTTAGAAGAAACACTACTTAATAAATTAATTTCTTGGCAATAGCAATGCCTTATTTTCACTTTTGTAATTGCAAAATTAAATTATTCTCATGCAATTCTCATGCATTGTTCAAAAAATTGAATAATAGCTTTGAAGGTACATTGGTTCCCTTCTGCAAATTTAGGCATTGCTGTGTGAATGCTGAACTTTTTGTCATCCAGCTGTAAATTCTTGGTTTTGAACTTAGTGGCAGATAAATGAGTAAGTGAGAAAGTTTTTAGCAAAGGAATAAGGGTGAAAGATCAACAGACATCATTTGAATAGGAGGATTTTTTCAAATGAGGCTTCAAAACACTGTATTGGATAGGTTTTTGAGAAGTTCCTCAAACATTAGTTTGAGAATTGTACTTAAATGTCAGTTTTTTATTGATTAACTAGACATTTAAAAGACTTTCTTGTATTTGCATTTTGTTTTGGTAGGCTCAGGTTTGTTAGTTGCAGCTCAAGATGCTACAGAAGATGAGGAAGCTGTGGAAGATACTATAGTTGAAGATGAAGATGATGAAGCTGAAGTGGAAGAGGATGAGCCAACAGACTTGGTAATTGCACGTGAATGTCACTTCAAAAGTATGAATTAAACCAGAAGTGCTTGAAGCTGGATAACTTAAATAGAGTTTACTTACATTGCTATTTTCAGGTAGCTGTTTCCATGTATCTGATTAAGCTTGTGTTCAGTTGGAAGCATCAGAATGATTTACCTTTTCTTTCTGAATTACCAGCTGAAAAACCACATGGGGACAGCCTGATTTCTGACTATCAAAACTGTTGGCCACAGAAAAAAAAACCCACCAAGTGGTAGAACCACATTCTCATAGAAGCCCTCTGTAGTCCTTTCCTATCTGAAACTGCACATCAGTAAGCTGAGAAGAACACGGGGGGATAGAACTACTTTATTTGTGCTTCTTTGATCTTGATTTCTAAGGGACAACAGTCTTAGTTAAGCTCAGAATGAATTCTGAAACTGTTGTTAAAAAAAAAAAAACAGCTGACTAAATTTGCAACACAAATTCAAAAAATTACCCAAAAAATCACAAACAGAAAAATGAAATGTTTTACATAGTTTTGTGGTCTGATGATAGCAGTTCAGTGTTAGGCTTGCTAGACACTTAGTGTGCTAGGGTGGTGCAAAATTTTCACGAGTTTCTGATGTACATTAAGGAAGTTTGGGGCATTAGTAGGAGAAGACATACATAATAAAAATGCAGATTTGTCAAAGTGTTACTTGATTCTATGATATTTTACTGCTGTTGTTAAGTCAGTGAGCTTATGGCTGACCAGCTTTGCTAAGTTGTAGAAAGCATACTATGTCAGTACTGACAGAATATTATTAAATAACCTTTTGGATGTAATTTCATTTTAATAAATAGTCTACGATTCAGGTACAAAACAAGGGTGCTTTTTAGGCACTTTCTCTTAATTGTCAATGAAATAAAAGATAGGGTTTTTTCATAGTGTCTTGGAATCAAGATGCTGCATAGTCAGCTCTGTCAGTTCCCTGGTTCATGGTATGTGTACAACTGATCCAGTAGAACTTCCATTGCTTCCGGAGGTTGTTTAACCACTGAAATCAAATGATCCAACTGACTTGCCAGCACTTAGCCGAGACTGTGCAATACTGGGTGAGCCTTGTTTTTGTCTGGTGGGGACAGTGATGATCCCCTTGTGGAAAGTAAGCCCTTAATGCTTGCATTTGGCAAATTGAAAAGTGAATCATCACAAGGTGAACTTGGAGCAAGTGAGTCCGGGCTTATGTAGTTCCAATAGCCTAACCATTTCCAGACATACGTACCACTTAGCTAATTAAAACTGAATAGAAAGCTGTCATAAACACTCCCTGTAGTGAAAGTAACTAATTTGTTTTATGGCTTTCTTTATTTTGAAAATGCTTGTTTTCTAACTAGAAATGGCTTAGATGTGAACACAACATTTAGATTCTATTCTTTTTTTTCCACCTCCAAACAGAAGCCTTGCTTTTTGATTCTAAACCCTTCTGTAGAGGTAGCCGTAGTTCAGATTAGTCACTGTGTCAAATGTAACAAGTAGAAAGATAAGTGCTGAAAGGGATGCTCATCAAATCTGGAGGGAGGACAATGTGCTAATCCTGCAAGAGCAGGATTTGGTACAAATACTTGCCACTGTTGCATGCCTTGACACATGGGATTCTCATGAACCAAGCGTGGTTTTTGCTTCACTGTTCATTATAGGATTTTTCAAAAAAGTCTCTTGTCTTAGACAGAAGAAAAAGAGGAAGAAGACTTATCAGGAGAACCAAAAGCCTCACCTAGTGCCGATACAACCATCTTATTTGTGAAGGGTGAAGGTAAGAGTCCTCTGCTAATCTGCCATTCTCTTTACTGGTGCTTAGACTACATCAGTGTTTGCCTGAAACGGAAAAGCTCTAAAACCACAGAGTCTGTTCTAGATGCTCTCTGTTTAGAATTGGCTGTGTGTTGTGCATGAGGTTTCTAATGGTTGAATATTTTTTCTTTTGTGTTTCAGACTTTCCAGCGAACAACATTGTAAAATTTCTGGTGGGCTTCACCAATAAGGGTACAGAGGATTTCATTGTTGAGTCTCTGGATGCTTCTTTCCGATACCCTCAAGACTACCAGTTTTACATCCAGAACTTCACAGCTCTCTCTCTGAACACAGTAGTTCCACCACAGAGACAAGCCACATTTGAATACTCCTTCATCCCTGCTGAGCCTATGGGTGGTCGTCCTTTCGGTCTGGTTATCAATCTCAACTACAGAGATGCAAATGTAAGCCTGATGCTCTGATTCATTTGAATCTTTCTAGTTCATCTGGAGGTGTTAGGAAGGAACTACTTAGTCAAGTACCTCTCCAGAAAGTGAATGCCTCTGTAGTGTTTAAGCAAATCAGTAGATACATAAGCATGGCAAGTGATTGCCTGCATGCACTTGAAGTTGTATCAGCAGTGGAATCTAGAGTGCCTTAGAACTGTAGTGGGCAGCAAAACATTTGTGCTTTTATTTGTTGAGTGAAATTAGCACAACTTAAAACCTTAAAAAAGTCTTGTGCTGGAGTTGCTGCTTTCTAGAATTTCTCCAAGAACACGGAGAAAGGTAAATGTTTGTGTATGTGTTGAAGAAACTAATTTAAAATGGTACATGCAAACTTTGTTCTAGGGCAACGTTTTTCAAGATGCTGTCTTCAATCAAACTGTTACAATTATTGAAAAAGAAGATGGGCTGGATGGAGAAACGTAAGGAGACTGGAGATCCAGGTTTAGTTGGTGCACTGGTAGAACAGGTTATTGGTGGTGCCAGTGAAAATAGTTCTTTTATTGTCATTTATTGAATGCTAGGTCTGCTGTGTTTTGTTTATGATGCAGCAGCATTGACAGACTGAAAATACAAACTTTTCCCAAAATTAAGATCTCTGTTACTGGTGGGGATCTTCAGAACTGGTACTGTGTCAGTGAGAAGTTTACAGATGTATTTTAGTTCAGAGGGCTTAAGCCTGGAATAGTACCTGATGTTATACAGCTGCATAGCAATTAAAAGCTGTTATACTTTTCTTATGCTACTGTGCATTTTCCTAAGAGTTAAAAGATGCAGAGAGTCCATAATATCAGTCTGTGGTTCCTGCTGTCAGGACTGGAATAGCTTTCTTCTGGAACACTGCAGTGTAATCTAAGATTACATAAACTAAAAGATGTATTAGGAGTACCAAAGCGAAGATTGTATTTGGAACAGCAAAGAATGACAAGAGTTCCTCTAAACGCTGTCTGTAGTAGGTTTCTTTCAGGAGTGATTTTTTTTCAGGGACTTAGGTAGATCTGACACACCGAATATCTTCCAAGCATATGCTGTGCTATAATGCTTTTGAGTATTGTAGCACTGGAATGGAATTTTACATGAAGCTGTGCGTTAAAAAAGTTAATCTTCAGAAATACTTGTAGACAATGCTGAATATGTGACTTGTCCTGCCACAGGTAGAAACTTCCTGTTAAGCAAGCTTCCTTTTAAAAAAGGTCTTCCAAAATAAATAGCTGTTGTATTAATTTGTATTTCTCAAATAGAATGGTTTATGAAAGAACGCTTGGTCGTGTGAAAATGTGTGATACTCTGAAAAAAGAGCTCTCAAAACAATTCAGATACTAGAATCAGTTTGTGTGAGTATCTTGTGAACAGATAATTGCCCTATAACAGATTCAATTAAGTGTCTTCTTCAGTTTACCTCCATAATTTCCTTTATCATAAGTGAGAACTCAGATGTTCAGTTTGGAATAAGTTCTTTACCCATAAATTCCTTAATCCCCAAATCAATTTTAGCTATAATTTAGGTTTACCTCTTGCTAAGTAGCAACAGATACTTCAGATAAAATTCTTAAACAAACCAGAATGCACGGATTCAAAAAATTGATTTTGTAGGTAGAATTCTAACTCTGGAACACAGAACAAGGTAAGCAAGGTCTTTCAAAGCTCTGTTGCAAATTAATAGTGTTCTAGAAGTACTTGCTTTGCAATAGCATGCTAAAAGCTTGTAAGAGACTTTTAAGGGTTTTATAAATTATTAAAGCTGTCACAGACCTAAATACTGCCTGAGACCCAATGTCTTGAAACTTCGTGATAGTGCAAAAGAATTTGTGAAGTTACTAAATTTCAATATTTATTTATTATAACATTTTCCTAATTTATACAGCATTTTTCAAATGTTCTGTTGTTCAGAATTAAACTTACAATTACAATTTTTAAAATCCAAGTCAGAATAATTACATGATAGTTGTTAGAACTTTAGTTTCAGATTCCTTTTATTTTCCCCACTTGCCCCCTACAGAAGCTCTTGGGAAAGATTAAGTGAACGTGTGGCAAAAGTTAAGCTTAATTTCCATGACTCATCATAAACTGTCTTCAAACCTTGATGTTTTCAGTTAATGGTTTCTTAAACTGTTTTTTAAAGGATCTTTATGTACATGTTCCTCGCTGGACTTGGTCTGCTGGTCATTGTTGGCCTACACCAGTTACTAGAGTCTAGGAAGGTGGGTAGCATGTTTGTCTGTGTACTTGTTAATACAAGGTCTTTCTGATGTGAAAAGAAAGCAATTCAGTGACTGCTTCTAGCATACGATGGTAAAGGTAGAAGATTTATTTTTAGAATCTTGGGGGTTACTGGGGAAACTAGAGCGTTCTTAAAAAATGTTCCTGGTGGAAGATACTCTGGTTGCTGAGCTCATGCCCTTTGCGTCTGCCCCTTGGCTCCACGCTGAAGTGGTTGAGTTGGAATAGCTTCCAATCACTAGATGTCTGTGTCTACTGATTCAGCACTTACTGGGTAGATTTTCCCCATGCTCTCTATTTCTGCCTGTTAGTTTAATCCAGGTCAGACTTCAGGGAAAAACAGCTGTCAGTCCTTTATTTAGTTCTTAGCAAAGCTTTGCCATAATGTTGATTATTTTGCAGTCACATGTGAGAATATTGTGTTAACCTGAGAAAGCAGAATAAAACTTGTCATCACAAAGTTGTCATCAGCAAAAGGTATAATGAATTTGCCCGGGTGTGCATGAAATCTTGGTGACTTTATGTGGAATAAGTGTTGTAAGGTGTTAGAAGTGGTGATACAAAGCTTAGGGGAATAAATTGCTAATGGGAAAGACAGCTCTGTGCATTAACTAACCTTAAGTTTGCACCTTAGTGAAATAATTGTAATTCACTAAATGCAGCATTTTTAGTAATTTCTAATACTTGTGCTGTCCAAGTCTTACTTAAAAGAAAAATCTTTCTTCTTTCTTTTTCAGAGGAAAAGACCGGTACAGAAAGTAGAGATGGGAACATCAAATCAGAACGATGTTGATATGAGCTGGATTCCCCAAGAAACTTTAAATCAAATAAGTAAGTGGTCTGCCTTTCACAAACTAGACCGTAACAAACTTAACTTGACCAACTAATTGAAACTGAATAAGCAGCTGATACCAATTTCTTAGAACAGCATGTATCTTCTAAGGAATAATAAATTCTCAGGCACTGTGCTTAAGGATTAGATTGTTACTTTAGCAGCATATTCCTTGTAGAACAAACTTCATTGGTTGATAAAATAATGGCTTTTGATGACTTTTACAATTTGTTCTGTAGAATATTTTTCAACAGTGTAAGTTTCTACCCAAAATCTGGATTGCAAAGCTGGTTTAAATAGGACAAAGTAGCTGTCATCTCAGAGTTTCTGTAAGTTGTTTGGAAGTTAACCTATAGACCAAAGTCTTAAATAAGCATAATAAGCGTGTTTTAACTAAAGCCCCCATGAATACTTGTTATTGATATCCTTCACAAATCCGAAAGTTCTACTTGCTACCTGAAATGCCAACACTAAACCAAATATCTGATTTCTTTAGGCTGTGGATATTTCTAACTTCTCTTACTCTTTCTTCTCTTTTGCTTTCCCATGGCTTCAGTGCAGAGTAGAAGAGGTGAGGCAGACTCTTGTGAGCTGCAGAGTGAAAAGTACTTAATGTGTTGTCCATGTACTAATTAGGCATGGATAGAAGTACAGCTTCCTGCATGCTGTGACTGGTGATGTAGCATGAGCAGTGAAAGATGCAGAACAGATGCACGCAATGGCATGCATTTTATATCCTTCTAAATGTATGTTTTCGTGCATTTTGTGGATATATTTCTGGTTATATTGTAGAAACATAATTTCAATAGAATATTGCTGAAGTATTGTTGTCTTTTTTCACAGTTCCCAGAATTCTTTTCCTAAGAGGCAGATGTTTATCTTGCCTTCCCTACATACCTTGGTGTATCAGGCTGATAAGCTCCTGTCCTCAGCAGCAGTTATTGGTGTGGAGTGAGAAAGCCTCAATGAAGTGCGTCCTACATGAGATGCAAAGAGTTCAAAAACCCTTTGCAGGAGCCACCCTTATTTGGCAAAGACTGCTGTTTTGATCAAATAAGCATATTCTAAGCTTCATTTGGTGTGGAAGGGCTAGAGGCCTCAGCTGTGATATGAAGTTGTGCCAGGAGTTGATGACTTCATGCTTTTTAAAATTCCTTAACCCTTTTTAAGAGTACTTACACAACATATGTATAAAGACTAGTGCTTTACTTGGGAAGGTAAAAGCTTTCCTGTGCACTTTATTCTGTGAGACACTAGAATAGTACAAAATCCCAGCACAGGAATTTGAAAAGCCTCAATCTAGCAAAAAAACCTGAAGGTCAAATACTACTTTTTGCTAAAGAGTAAGCTGACTTTAAAAGGGTTCAAATTCTGGTAATGTTTAGGCCCTGACACCATCCTTTTCTTAAGCTAAATAGGTATTCATATGTTAATACCTGAAGTTTAGGGAAAACTAATGGTTAAGTTGTTCTTAATTGTGGTTTTTTCAGTTCCAGATCCGTTTCAATTACAACTCTACACTAGAATTCTTTAAAATACATTACCTTCAAGATCCTGACTTTTTTATTATTGACACTTCATACTGTACTGATTGGTCTGTAAGGACACGATGACTGCTCCTTGTGTTTGCACATACTCTAAACAGGGAAGTTGTTGGAGATCACTTAGCAATCACTTCAGCATTACATGCAAAGTATTGAAGCTTCTCTGCAGTAATCATAGAACCATAGAATGGTTTGGTTTGGAAGGGGCCTTAAAAATCATCCAGTCAAGTGTGGATGCTTCCTGGAAAAGTGCAGTTTTCCACAACAAAGAGACTTTTCTTCTGCTGTTAGTTGTATGAGCGTGGAAATATTACATGCAAGACATGGCTGTCTAAACAAGAGTCATTCTTGTATTTTTCAGGCATGTAAACTCAAGGCAGTGGTCATCAAAATAATTAATTTAACTTTCTAAAAGTGTCATTACCGAGCATGAAAATTTTCTAAGCAGCAGAGCTGTCATTTTCACATAGGGATGGCATAGTGTTTTGGGGTTGGGTTTTTTTGCATTGTAGTAACTGACAAATAGAACAAACCTTACCCTGTTGTTGCATGTTAGAGTGGAAACATACTTTTTTGGTACCTTCTATTTAGGGTGCTGGTAGTTAGAAAGCCTTAACAAGTTGTTTGAATTGGCTTTTCTGTGGTGATGCATTGCACTAGAAGGGCAGCTTGTCTTGTGTTTGGAAGGAGAAAAATACATGCTCACGTAACAATTGCAATTGATGCAACTATCTTTTTTTTCTTTTTTCTTTCTTTTTAATCTAGATAAAGCTTCACCGAGGAGGTTGCCCTACAAGAGGGCACAGAAGAGACCAGTGGGCTCTGATGAGTAATGTTAACTAGTGCAACAGTTGAACCTTTACTAATTCTGCCTGTTTGGTTTTTTTGGATTGGAGTAGTGCAGAGAACCCATATCACCATAAGGAAAATACGGCTAAACATTTGGACTGAACAGATTAACTGAATGGTGTTAATATTACTGAAAATGCACTTCTCTTTGAATTCTTTTTTTTCTAATTGTTTGGGGTGGGGGGGAGGTAGCCATTAAGATTTGTGCCTGCGTGTGTAAGCGGTTGGTCTTAACAGAAACATGTTACCTGAAATGTGCCTTTAGAGTTCTTTGTAATGCTGGCTTGTCATCTGTACATTGTCATTGAAGGATTTTTCTCCTCTCCCTAATCTGAATGTTTGGTGACTTTAATCTGTCTTGATTGTATCATATCTGTATCACAACCTGAACACATTGTTCTTGTTCAGTAAGTAACCTTACTCTTTACAAGGTGCGCACACTGAAGTTTGTGTGTGTGGTCCTGTCTCAGTGGCCAGGCACTGATCATCTCAACTTCTGCATAGTTTTCATTCTAAAGGCACAATTGGGTATAGCTGCTTGTAGTGGTAGATATATTGCTGCTGTTTTGATCTGGGCATGCAGTGACCTAAAAATCTGAACTTAGCTGCATAGATGTTAGGAAGACTCTTGCACAGCAGCAGAACTTGTGAAGCATGGAATTTGTGTGCTGAATTGGTATTACTACATAAATTTCTTTTTTATACCCAATTTGTTAAATGGTTAGTTATTGAATTGTGCCAGCATCTTAGGTATTCAGATTATAGTGGTAGTTCTGCAATGTTTACTCAAGAAACTGTTGAATAAGCCAGAACAACTTTTTAGTGAGTTCTTGGTTCTCTCTCCTAAGAACTAGAATGTCATATGTATCAAAATGCCAGTTTATTTTTTTTAAAGCTTTACAAGGATTTGCTGTACACACTTGAAACTGAATTTGAGAAACTGTTGGCTTCAAATAATTATTTTTATTGGCAAATTATTTAATTCAATTATAATTAATTTACAATTTTTGAATCTGAGACATCTTTACACTGGTCAGTACATTGATCTGAATTTTTTTTCGCTTTGTCTTTCTTAACTAGTAACATGGATGCATATTCATCACTAGCTGCATGTTGGTTCAGTAGTCAAGCAGAAAAGCTGTATGCAAAATCAAAACAAGATTTCCTTTTGTGGCTTACATGATTACCAGGTACTGAGGTATTGATCCACATCCACTGTGTTCAGGAATTAACTGACAGAATTAAGAGCCAATATGCAGGACATGAGTTTGCTTGGGCACGGTTTGAACTGTTTGCATCTCCACTGCCTCTCTTTCTATGTCTGAATGCTATCTGAAAGCTTGTTGAGTTCAGGAAGAGGCATAGATTTGAGGCTTCTGTTGTCTTCCTCCATTTCCTGATCCCCACCTGTGAAAATGCCCTTTTAGTTCCACACTTGGTCTGCAGGGACTGAACTTCTGAGCCAATGAATGCTGAGCAGTCCTTCCACAGTGTGTTTGAAGCATCCAGACTCTGAAACTACCTGTGCTGGGACTATTTTGTTACACATCTTGCCAGAATGAACTGTGAAGATGTTCTTGACTCTTACTGCTATGGAAGAGATGTTTTATTCAACTTCCTGAAAATACAGCTAGCCCAGGCAGAATATTTTTTGCAGTTAGTGTTGCTTAGCTGTCATTCAGATCACTTAGGAAACAGCTGAGTGCTGCCCTCATAAGGGGTATCTCCACTCAAATTGTGTGGAACAGCTTTATTTGCCTTTAGTGATATAATCTGACTGGTTCTGTGGTAGATTAGCAGGCTTGTGTTCCAGCTTGCATTGATTCAACAGAGTGTTTATGGATTAAATGCTTCCTATGCTGAAGACCCATAGTGATTGCAGCACCTGATGCACTGAGCTTGCAGAGTTCCCTCTCTTGGATTATGTCTCTAACCTGGCATTGAGAGGGGCTTTTTTCATGTTCTTGTAACTGGTCATCTTGAATTGTATAATCTTAATTCTTCCCAAGATTTAAAGGTACTCTTTGAGGGGGCGGTGATGATACAGTGGTACGCCAGGAAAAAAGACAAATTTTAGTTTTATTTGTACAAATCAGAAGTATTTGAAGGCTGAGCTCTCTTCTTTGCACTCAGTGGCTGACTTCCAAATGCTTAAGTTCTAAGCATGAAAGAAGAGTGAAGGCATCTTGCACTGGAACCAGCAGTGGGAAAGTCCAGGTGTACCAAGGCTGTCTTTCTGATGATACAACTTGGCATTCACTGTAGATGGTTCATAGTGACTTTTTTAGCCAGAAGCAGTTCATAAGAGCAGGGACCAGTAGACCACTGCTGCTCATGATGAATGTCATAAGATTTTTTAATTACTTGTTTCTCATTAATTTGCTGTAGTTGAAATTCAGCAGTAACATTCCAGCATGCAGTGGTAACTGAACATTGGCATCTCTAGTATTACTTCTAGTGAATAAGCCAGTCTATTACACTCATTTTTTTTTTTAATTGGGGACATATAGTTGTTGTTTTATCCTGTTGGTTAGAAACTTTCATTTTGGTACTTGAATTTTCTACTCAGTTTTTAAACAGGGATAGCTTAGTGTCACAGGTATCTTGCTGGATGTCATTATTATTGTCAGCTGAGTAGGGTGTAGTTTTGCTACTTAAAGATGAGGCTGCAGCAATTCTGCCTGTCTATGCCACCCATTTCCATTTGGCAGCTCAGGCATATGTATAATCCAGCATTCTTACCAGTTCTCAGCCAGCTTACTGCACTGCCACACAACTGCTCCTGGAGGGTTCTGAGAAGAGTGACAACTGTGAAAGAAGCTGTGGGCTGGGGTTTCTTTATTAGTAAAAGATGTTGAAATGGTTTTGGAGAGCAAGTGAACTATGGGCTTAGAGTGAATTCCTTTCTCAAAGCTCCTTAACTTACTCAAAAAATTATGAATACCTAACAATTCTACACTTGGGGTAGGAAAACCAGCTTTGGAGTTCACATCTACAGGGGCAGCAAAGCATTAATTTAGGCTACCCTTGAACTGCATGTGATACCTGTAGCCCTCTATGCTGTCTGTTTTCTGGCAGTAGTTCATTTTTTTCCCCAGTATTCTTCAGTCAGAGAAAGAGGAGTGGCTGCTGTCAGACTAAAGGATTGAAGTTCATTCTCCACATACAAAATTAAGTTGTAGGCTGTGGAGCAAGATGGAACAGACTAGAGATGGCAGTGCTTCTGCTTGTTCTGAAACATTTATGCTGAACATCTTCCTTAGCTTGGAAAAGGTGTAATCCAAAGTATCATTTACTGGTTATTCCTACGATGCATGGTGCTAAACAAAATGATTTAGATGAGAGCTCTGAATCCAGGGAAGTCAAATACTAAAGTAGGCTGTTGTCCTGTTTTTCAGTGTGCTTGGTGTACTGAGCAGTAGAGAGTCTGTTCTGTTTTCTTCTCCAAGGGAAGGGCAGTACCTACCTCATAGGAGTGACAAAAGGGCTGTTTAATGAGTGTTTTGAGGTTATTTGAGACTTGCACAGTACACTTCCATGGAGATAGTAAGACACAGCACTAGTGTAGATGGTTGGCAACTGTACACATAGATCCATACTGTACTAATTTAATCCCCTCACTGAGCAGAATTTAGCAGCTTTACACTTTGACATTTCTAAAATATGCAGAGGAGTTGCAGTTAACATACAGAGGAAAACAAAGCCAGAAAGATCTCTTAGTTTCTGAAAAAGTTTGTAGGTGGGCTAAGTAACATTCTCCTGACATTTTTCCATTTATCTCTAAATTTTCCTAGGGATCTTTTCTAATCAGTTGATACAGATGATTGTTTATGTAGCTACAATCAACAGTCAACTTAAGAATGACTGATTGTTTTGGATTATTTTCAGGTGATGTACTGCAACTGAAGTGTTAAATTATCATTTAATTTCTTACCTGCTGACTTGCATTTATAAATGAGATCAGATCTCTTGAAAACAGCTGCAGGTTTTTTGTAAAGTATACTTGATTTTTTTTCTTAGCATTGTGTGGCTTTTTTTTTTTTTTTAATAAAGCATGAGTATGGCACCAAGAAAAGGCCTTTTCCTTGATAAGCAAATGGTAGGAGCAAATATGCAAAGTGTGAAAACATGACATTCTTAAAAATCTGCTTTTCTACATGTGTAATTGGAATAGAATAATATTGAGCAAGTACTCTGTGATGTTTTGGACAATGGATTAATAATTAAGATTAGAATTCTTTTAAGGGAGGGCCCAGTAAATTCCTGAATCCTGATGGGTTAAAAGTGACCCATAATACCCTACATTTCTAGAAGGAATAACCTGATGTTAAACCATAGGCAGCGTAAAAAGGATCTGTTAAGATGCTTAAAGGTTGCTGAAGCACAAGGCCAAATGCTTACAGTTTTTATGTGCATGCTGTTGTGTGACCAAGCAAACACTCACATTCCATGCAGTAACTCTGAAAATAGCAGTTCCAGCAGGTGTTCTGCATCCAAACAGAAGAAGGTAAGACTTGTTAGGGGGAAAAAAGCCAACAAAAAACAAGACAAAAAAGGCTTAAAAATAAAGGATGCTGGGACCCCTGTATTGGTAAACCGTTATCTGTGGGTAAAAGTGGGAAAAATTAAAAGCAGATGTGTTGATGTATGTTTAGGTCCCAGAACACGTAAAAATTACTCTAGAATTTGAAGCCTGCCTCATCTTTCACTGAAAATATCAAGATAGATAGCTTGCAATAGCTGGCTTAGAACAGATACCAAGACCAAGATGAAGTCTTAAGAATCTGTCCGGCTGTCTTTTCTGTCCCCTCGTGTAAATAGTCTTGACTATAAATTTATATTAACTAAGATGCAGTAAAATTTCAGCATCACAACATGCCAGCCCCTTAGCTGGTGAGGTAAAGCTGAAATTTAACCTGCCTTTCCTCATCACTCTCAATCTGTTTAGCCTATGTGGAAATCACAAACTGAGTTTTCCCT